CGATCATAATCGAGAAGTGAATCGAAGATTAACGAAGTGCGAAACTGCTCTTCAATCAAAAGTGTTATGATTAGTGAAGAGCAGTGTCCGACAACCATCCCCTTAAGGTCTTACAGTGTTCAAAACTCAGATGATCGAATTAAATCCTTCGAACAAGCTCGGCAGATCATTGGTCGTTGTGATGAGGCACCGAAAAGGTACATAGGTGGGTTGGAATGGTCGTCCTAAGGTGCCTGGCTCACGTAAATGGTAGTGAGTTGCAATTTGCGGAAGACTGGATGGGAAAAGAGAGGAAACCCGTACTAGCAGCAAACAGTTCTCCTAGCCGTCGAAGGCAAGTCGTCATGTTGAATGTCTTGGGATACTACGGTAGCGTATCCGATGTAGTCGACTCACCGTGATGTCTTTATGTTGAACTAATACTTCCATATTTTCTAAGCCCTTGAAAGTTGCATCGCTGAATAGAAGAAGTGGAATTGAATAGAGCATTGGAACGGTCCATTGTAGAATAACCGATACCCAACGGTATGAGTTGTTAAAAAGCTGTAAATGGATTTTTGCTTCATGGAAGGTGAATGGATCGCCGAAAAAATGACTACCTGTAGCCTTTGATTTTCATATTTGCATAGAGAAATATATTTTTGGAATGATATTACAAGTACGCCAAAACATCGAAATATAGCCGACACATATGTCTGGTTGAAACACCACGCGGCAACGTAGTAGTCCTTGTAGGTCCAGAAGAGACTATTCAGTAATTCTGATTGTCGTAATATTCCGAAAATAAAATAGCTCGCCATTACCAAAGTGTCCATCAGGCTCTTAAAAAAATGCCAAATTTGTATCATATTTTCCCTTAAAAACATAGGGGAACTTCTTATGTATTTTGATACAGTCAAGGGTTGCATACGATTCCCGTCAGCGTTTATAGTATGCGTCGGCAGGGAATCTCGCTCGGTCAGACTTCCCCTTATGCGGCACCCAATTTCGCACGATAAAATAAATGGAGGGAACTATGTTTCAACCTATCTTCTTTCGAAAAAAGCCTGAGGATATGAATCTTTGATATGCCCACGTGCTACTGAAATACGTTCGAAAATGTCAAAAATGATGCCATCCCCCTCCCACGCGGAAGCTCGAGAAAACACCGTTCGGATGACCTCCCGAACGTTTGTTCAAAAA